GCGCTAAGTTGATGACCTGTTGTCTAAGGGTTTTGTGAGGGAGAGTATGAGCCCATGTGCAGTTCCTGTACTACTTGTGCCTAAGAAGGACGGTTCTCGGAGAATGTGTGTTGATTGCCGAGCTGTCAACAAAATCACAATTAAGTATCATCATACAATTCCTAGGCTAGATGATATGTTAGATGAACTGCATGGTAGTAAATATTTTTCTAAAATTGATTTAATGAGTGGATATCATCAAATTCGGATGAAATTAGGTGATGAATGGAAAACTGCCTTTAAGACTAAGTATAGTTTATATGAGTGGATGGTTATGCCATTTGGATTAACTAATGCATCTAGCACTTTCATGAGATTAATGAACCGTGTTTTGCATGCTTTTCTAGGCAAGTTTGTTGTGGTCTATTTTGATGCTATATTGATCTATAGCAAGTCTATTGATGAGCATATTGAGCATGTTCGGTTAGTATTGAAAACTTTGAGTGCTGAAAAGTTATACGCTAAACTACAGAAATGCACTTTTTGCATAGGTAGGCTTGTTTTTCTTGGTTTTGTTGTGAGTGCACAGGGGATTGAAGTGATGAAGAGAAGGTTAAAGCAATTCGAGAATGGCCAACCCCTAAATCTATCTTCGAGGTGAGGAGTTTTCATGGCTTGGCGAGTTTATACAGAGGTTTGTTGAAGGACTTCTCTACTATAGCAGCCCCACTCATAGAGGTGGTGAAGAAGGAAGTTAGATTCAAATGGGAGGAGGCACAAGAAAGGGCATTTGACACTTTAAAATCTATTCTTTATTCTGCTCCTATTTTAGTTTTACCTGACTTTGGTAAGACATTTGAGATTGAGTGTGATACTTTTGGTGTAGGTATTGGCGCAGTGTTGATGCAGGAGAGGAAGCCAATTGCCTATTTTAGTAAGAAACTCAATGGAGCGCAACTCAACTATTCAACATATGACAAGGAGCTATATGCTCTGGTGAGGGCATTGGAGGTATGGCAGCATTACCTTCTTCCCAAAGAATTTGTCATACACACTGACCATGAGTCTCTCAAGCACCTCAAGGGACAAGATAAGTTGAACAAGAGACATGGTAAGTGGGTTAAATTTATTGAGTAGTTTCCTTTTGTGATTAAGTACAAAGGAAAGAGAAATTGTGGCTGATGCATTTTCTAGGAGGTATGCTTTAATTACTACTCGTAGTGCTAAATTGTTAGGATTTGAGCATATAAAATCTTTGTATGTTGATGATGATGACTTCCGCCTTATTTGGAGTGCATGTGAACATGGGGCTTGTAACAAGTTCTTTAGGCATGAGAGGTACTTTTTTAGGGGAAACAAACTTTGTATACCAAGTGTTCTATGCGTGATTTGCTTGTGTTATAATCACATTGTAGTGGACTTATGGGGCATTTTGGGGTTCATAAGACATATGATATGCTTGCTAAACATTTCTTTTGGCCATATATGTGTATAACTATAGAGAAACTGTGTGAAGTGTGTATTGCATATAAGTAGGCTAAGTCTAAGTCTATGCCTCATGGTCTTTATATGCCTTTACCTATTCCTACTTTGCCTTGGGCTGATGTTTTTATGGATTTTATGCTTGGATTGCCTAGGACAAAGCGTGGTAGGGATAGTATTTCTGTTGTTGTGGATAGATTTAGTAAGATGGCAAATTTCATTACATGCCATAAGAGCGATGATGTTGTCCATGTTGCTTAGTTGTTTTTGAGGGAGGTTGCGAGATTTATGGGGTGCCACGCACCATAGTCTAAGACCGTGATGCCAAGTTCCTTTCTCATTTTTTGCGTGTTCTATGGAGTAAGCTTGGTACAAAGCTGTTGTATTCTACTACCTATCATCCCCAGACAGATGGCAAGAACTCTAGGTACTTTGCTTAGAGCGGTGGTTGGTAAGAATATGAAAACCTAGGAGGATTGTTTTCCTTTTATTGAATTTGCTTATAATAGATCTTTACATTCTTCTACTGGTTATAGTTCATTTGAGCTTGTGTATGGTTTTAATTCTTTGACTGTGCTTGATTTATCACCCTTGCCTTTGAGTGAAATTACTAACTTAGATGGTGAGAAGAAGGCTGAATTAGTCAGGGAGATGCATGCTAAAGCTAGGGCTTATATAGACATGAAGAACAAAAGCTATACTGACCGTGCCAACAAGGGGAGGAGGCGTGTTGTGTTTAAACCTGGAGATTGGGTTTGGGTACACATGAGGTAGGAGAGATTCCCAAACCAAAGGAAGGGAAAGCTTACTGCCCGAGGTGATGGGCATGTTCAAGTGTTGGAGAAGATCAATGACGACGCCTACAAGATTGATCTACCAAGTGAGTATGGCATGTCTGCTACCTTTGATGTCTCTGAACTTTCTCCATTTGATTATGATTTAGATTTGAGGACAAATATTTTTGAGGAGGGAGGGAATGATACAGATCAAAGGAGCAAGGTGAAGGATCCTTTGGCTCTACCTATCGAGCCAATCACAAGAGCTCGTACAATTAAGCTACAAGCAGCCTTGAATGCATTTGTGACAAAGGAGCAAGGTGAAGGATCCTTTGGGGAGCAAGGTGAAGGATCCTTTGGCTCTACCTATCGAGCCAATCACAAGAGCTCGTACAATTAAGCTACAAGCAGCCTTGAATGCATTTGTTCAAGAACAAGTCACATTGGAACTTCAAGATCATAACTATGCAAGATATGGGATTGAACTTGAATAAGCACCTAAGCTTATTATGGTTTTTGAGGCGTGTAAAGAGGTTGTCCATTGATGCATTATACATGTTTTATACTTAGGCAAATTTAGAAGAATGTTCTTTCATTATGAGCTTAAGTATAGAGCATGCAGGGCCTTGTGGCTCATCTATCCTATTTTTTTAGATTGTTTTATAGTGAATTTAGTTATTTAGAGTAAGGCTGGTTGAACTTATATCTCATAGGTTGGCCGACCCTAGGTTAGTCAATATTAAGCTAGGCTTGTTTCATTTAGTTAGTTTGGGCTTTCTTATTTAATTAAGCCCACATTTATAGTCTTTGAGCTTGTATGGCCGAATTAGTCCATGACCTTCTTACATTGACTTGTCTCCTTATCCATCGAATGGATATATCTAAATGATGAGCTAAAATAGCTTTACGATCATCAATCACAAGACCTAAAGGGGAAACATCAACATAACTGGAGCAACGAGATAAATTCATAAAAAAAATCAAATAATTCTTTATTATTTAACTACCAAATATTAATGAAAAAAGGGGAAACATCAACATAACTAGAGCAACGAGATAAATTCATTAAAAAAAATACAAATAATTTTTTATTATTTAACTATCAAATATTAATGAAAATTTACTTTAATAAATGAAAAAAATATAATGAAAATTTTAAACTAAGAAACATACAACATTGTGTCATGGTGACCAACAAAAATTTGTATCTGTATCTGCTCGAGAGAACTTAGACAAATTAAGAAAGAAATCATTCTCTAGATTACACCTCATGTATTCTATGTTTGCATATTTCTGGTGACCAACAAAAATTTGTATCTGTATCTGCTCGAGAGAACTTAGACAAATTAAGAAAGAAATCATTCTCTAGATTACACCTCATGTATTCTATGTTTGCATATTTCTGGTGACCAACAAAAATTTGTATCTGTATCTGCTCGAGAGAACTTAGACAAATTAAGAAAGAAATCATTCTCTAGATTACACCTCATGTATTCTATGTTTGCATATTTCTGGTGACCAACAAAAATTTGTATCTGTATCTGCTCGAGAGAACTTAGACAAATTAAGAAAGAAATCATTCTCTAGATTACACCTCATGTATTCTATGTTTGCATATTTCTCAGCATCCTTTTGATACAGTCCAGTCTGGCCCATAATGATGATGGATCTTGCACCGTCATTGTGACATTAGATCCAAAAAGAAACTGTCATAAAATTAATCAAGAAGGTTAACCAAATCAAATAAAATATGAAATCAAATAAAGCAAAAACTTTCAAAACAAAAATAACGAACTTGCAGGTGAGATCTGTCACATTTTGCACAATCAGAGACAAATATATCATCTTCCTGAATGCCAAGGTCTCCATAAAATGTTGAAGCAATTGCAACCTGTGCTATGTTGTTGTTTCTACCTCTATGAGAATGGTTGACTATTGTAGGACTTCCAATCTCAAAATTATCAAACACCTAAATGTTTATAAAGCAGCTAGTCTCAAGATTTCAACATAATTTTTCATTCTGTTTAGCTCCATAACCACTGTAATACTCAAGAGTGGACCATGCTTCTGATCTCTGTAGAAAGGGAAATGAATTTATAAATGAAAAATAAATGCAGCAAAACAAAATTTTTAGTTATAAGCTGTAATTATAAATGACAAAAAAAACAGGAACGTGTGTATATATATATATATATATATAATATATTATATATTATGCAATATATTTATATATTTATATAGAGACAGATAAAAAAAGATTTAAAGAATTTTAAAGTTGTGACTAATGCTAAACGTAATTATCATAAAAATAATAGGTATATATATATATGCAAATATATTTATATATTTATATAGAGACAGATAAAAAAGATTTAAAGAATTTTAAAGTTGTACTAATCTAAACGTAATTATCATAAAAATAATAGTTAAATAAATTTATGCATATCTATTAAAATAATTATAAATAAATTAAAAATATTTATTCAACATTCAATCAAATTATAGAAAAATAAAATAAAATATCTAAAAATTTCTTAAAAAAGAAAAATAAAAACTGAAACAAGAGAACGCTTTAAATCTCTTTAAATCTCTTTAAAGTTTTTGATAGATTAGGTTAAATGATTAGATTAGATATCAATTATTATTATTGTATATTAAATATTAAATTAAAAAATTAGCCAATTAAAATACAAAAAACTTAAAAATTTTATATATAAAAAAATATTACTCGGACACCTTTTCTCTTTATTTCAATATACATATTTATACACAACCAGTTAATAAAGTTCACAGGCAGCAAGTCAAGTCTCGCCCGCGAAGAAGAACGAAACGAGAAGAAGAGGAAGAGAGTAGAGAAGAAAGATGGGAGAGAGAAAGGTTTTGAACAAATATTATCCACCGGATTTTGATCCGTCTAAGCTTCCCCGAATCCGACGACCAAAGAACCAGCAAATTAAGGTTCGAATGATGCTTCCTATGAGCATCCGATGCAATACCTGCGGTAATTATATCTATAAAGGCACCAAATTCAATTCTCGCAAGGAAGATGTTATTGGTGAGGTACGTATGGTGTTTCCTATCAGTTTGATTTCCTGATTTCTCTCTCTCTCTCTCTCTCTCTCTCTCTCTTTTTGCATTTTTAGGTTAGATTTTGAATTAATTGATAATTTTTGTGCAGACGTATTTGGGAATTCAAATTTTCAGATTTTATTTCAAATGCACTAGATGCTCTGCTGAGCTTGCCATGAAGACTGATCCTCAGAATTCTGATTATGTTGTTGAGAGTGGCGCTACACGAAATTTTGAACCCTGGCGTGCTGAGGATGAGGTTTGCATTTATTTTTGTTATGTGTTTGATTTGTTGCAGGATTTTATTGGGGTACTTTTTTTGAATTATTGGGTTTTTCAGGAAGCGGATAAGGAGCAAAGAAAAAGGGATGCTGAGGAGATGGGTGATGCGATGAAATCATTGGAGAATAGGACTTTGGATTCTAAGAGGGAGATGGACATTCTTGCTGCTCTTGATGAAATGAAATCTATGAAGGTACTTGGGATTTTTTTTTCCTATTTTGTATTGAGATTGAGTTCAGGATTTATGCTTCCTTTCTTGTGTTCTTATGCTAACTAATGCACTCCCTTTTTATATTTGTTTTTTTGGTTTTGTAGTCAAGACATGCTACTGTGAGTGTTGATGCAATGCTTGAGGCCTTGCAGCGCACAGCTGTGGATAAGGTAGGGTGCTTTCACTGTCTTTCTTTAATTTGAAAAATATTTTTGATACCCTTAACTGGGAATTTCCGCGATTGAAGTTTGATGATCACCTTTTGAAAAATATACAATGCAGTCTCAAAGTAATTTTTCGGTTTGTGAATCTTTGATTGCAATAAACTTTGGAGTATTACATTCAAACTCGAATCCCATTATCAAAAGATATGAATTAGCATATCCACATCCTAAATTTAACGTTTGAATATATTATACTACCTGTATTGTCCACAAGCTTGGTTTGTGGTTACTCCCTTAAACATACCTGTAGACTGTAGAACGGTCAATTAGATTTTGACACCAGGACCTTAATACCTAGTCAGTTCAAATATTGATCAAATGTATACACCTGCTAACAGATCTGTTAACATCTCAATTACCTTTGTTGTATCACTGTTAGTCTAGTAAATTTACGTAGGGAGTTTTCAATCTTATGTGTTTGACCCTTTGTTACAACCTGTAAATGGATGCCAAAAACTAGTTGGGAATTGTGCTTGTTTTTCTCTGTATATTTTATTTTAATTTGTGAGCTTTATGCCCTTATTCTGATTTTAACAATGGATTTTGCTGACAGGAGAAAAAATTGGAAGAAGAGGATGAAGCACTTATAAAATCCATATTTGAAGTTAGTATTGGCATTCTCTCTTTGCTGGTTTTCTTTTTGTTCCCTGTCCATCTTACCTGTCCTTTTTATATATTTGTCTTTATGAATGGCGGTTCGTGATATGGTTTTCTTTGTTTGTTAAACTTTAAAGCGGAGGCCAAAGGAGGTTGTTCGGAGGATTTCTGATGAAGATTTTGATGATGATGATGATGATGAGTTTACAAATGGCAATGGTGAAACATCAAAGGTATGGTAATCCTGTAAATTGATTTATCTTTTTCTTTTGGCTACATTCTGGAGATGTAGTTCATTTTCCACTGCTTAATATTAAGTCAAACTTCTCCTTTTGACGTAAATAATTTTGACGTAAGCTAGATCAGAGATGAAACTAAGGGATGATGTTGGATAGAAAAAGAATTTGAGGATCAGGGAACTAAAAGATGAGAAAAGAAGAAGATAATATTAGAGAAATAGAGAGAAGAGAAAAGAAGAGAAGGGAAAAGAAGAATTGAATGGTCTAGGAGGGAGGGAGTAGTGGGAGGAGGAGAATCCATGTGGCCCTAATATCCAGTGGATTGCTGCCTTTTGGATCGGTATTTCATTGAATATATTATTCAATCTGATTTCACTTGGAGGATGGTCATTGATACAGGACTCATGTGGTTTGCAAATTGTAACATTTGATGATATGTTAATGATTATGAATCACCTATAGGACATATCTTAGCAATATTGACACTGAACATGGAAATCAACATGGCATATTGTTCCAGTGGATTGAATAACTAAGTGGGTTTTGAAAATGAGTTGAAGGGTAAGTTGGTGGGGAAGACATAATATTCGCTACCTAAAAAATAATGAATATTTTAATTATTTTTGTGCCCAAATTGGAGAATGGAGAGTGAGAAAGGGGGTTATTAAATGTACTAGTCATGTAATTTATCATGCATACATCATTTTTGCTTCGGCAATGCCTCCAGTCTCTGGTGATTTCAGTAGAAGAGTTAATCAGCAGGATCATGAAATGAAGGCAAAAAATAGATTTGAATTATCTTTGCTAAATACATAATTACTATAGGTGATCATCAGATGGGTACAAAAGGGTAAATCATGACTTGTTTTAAAACACAACCAGGACAGTTTTTTTAAGAAAGGGATGGCTCAAATGCATTGGTTTGGAAATAATAACTTTTCTTGTTCTCCATTAGGAAAATTAGGATGCATATTTTTCTCTGAAGTTATCCATGAGGTGATTCTGTTGAAAAACCCAATCAATTAGTTGGGTATACACATTTTGGGGCAAATGCTAATTGGCCATTAGATATTAGATTCCACCCAAAGCCTTCTTTAAATCCGACTAATCAATCTTCTAAGTTTTCCAGACAATGGAAAATTCCTCCTCATTCTTCCTTACTAGTCCTTAGAAAGTTCTCAAAAACATTAAAAGAGAAAAGCTTGTGGTTTCTAAGGGAACTTGTATCAGAGCCTATTTAGAAGAAATTGCCATTAGAAGGTTTGGCCTTTGACAGCAGCTGGAAGCCTTAGCAGCAGCTGGAAGCCTTAGATTTGTTTAAGGTAATAAATATTATTTTAAAGAAAAAATAATAGAAGGAAAATAATGAGCCAGATTTGTATTAATGTCTTTGTTTTCACATACATTTTACCTTTATGAGTTTTTGGTTGTTTTAGTCGTTTTTCTTATGCATCTCATATCTTAGTATTAAGTGAAATTTTACATCTGTAGTTGTTCAGTCCACTGCATTCATGAGCCGTGGTTATCTGTTTAGGTTATCACGAACCCTTAGCTTTATATTTATTTTAAGCTTATCTAGTATTAGGAGAGAAGTTTGTCGATAGCACGAATATTTTTTCCCAATGAATTTGCTGACTGATGCTCTGTCTTTTATTAAATACAGAGGAGAAAGATATCTGATGAACTTCCTAGTAAACCTACAGATTCACTGACAAAGGACAATGTTTTAGAGGGTTCTGAGAACAGAGGTATGTTATATTTTCATTTCTCCCTCCTGTTTAAATTGAAATGCTTCTGCTAGTGAATATTAGTATTACAACAAAAGTATTGCAATGAAGGTGTGCACATGCACACACAAACATGTATACATAGTACTGATGTTTTATATATATTTATTAATTGGCTGTAATGCTCTGCTTATCAAAAATAAAAAAGAAAAATTAGGCTGTATCTTAGGTTAATGCATTTCTGTCCCATAAAGAGCTAAGGTCTATTGATAGAAGCTTCAATTATAGCCATACTTCAATTTGTGTCAATCTTGGATCCTTTGACATTGGAGTTGATGAAACCAAACTTGGAAGGGCATGTGCCAGAATTCTTAAATTGCTCGCATGACGAGCATTTGATTCATAAAAGTTGCATAGAAGCATATGGTCGTTTCTTTTTTTAATACATCTTTTGCGCTTCATTTGTATGATCATGGGATGGAATTTATGCTAGTTAGTCAAGGATCTTTGTTTATAAAGTAACGTCTACTTTGTCATCATTAGCATTCCCCAACACTTAAATATGCCATATTAGATTCTAAAATTTTTTTTTTGAATGAAGTATATATCACAGTTGCAATCTGGAGTCTTTGACCGTAGTCAGTCCCAATATTAAAAACTGTAATATAATCCACACAGATTGAAATAGTGAGTCTAGTTTTAAAATTAGGCAAAGGTGGATTTATTTGTTAAGGGGAAGATAAATCTGAAGAGATTCTTCTTCCATACTGCATGAGAGTATCTCCAAAAGCAGCTGAAATGTCTCATTTAGTATACAATAAGAAAGAAGAATATCCACCTGATATTGGAAAACCTTCTCTTTTTTCTTTTTAAGTCTTGAAGAAGAAGAGAATAAACTCATGTTCTATACTTTATTCAAAAATGTTCTAATATTCAAGTTAGTATGTATTATGGAATTTTAACAAGCCCTGATGTGAAATTCTGACTAAATTTATGTTGCTTTGCTGATAACAGAAAATTCGAGTGGTCCAGAGAGTAAGACCGATGCCAAACGCAACTTGATCGCTCCAATGGTGCGGATTTCTGTCATCAAGAAACCGGTGGCGACTTCCGATAGTAACAAGCCAGGTATAGCCGAAGAGCACAAACAATTAGAGAGAGAAAGTAATGGCACAAGTACTGGACTCCTATCATTGTGCCAAAACTACGATAGCGATGACGATTAATTAATAACTGTATTCTGAATCAACCTTACATCTTTAGTTTTCGTATAGTGGAATGATTGAATGATATGATCAAACCATGAATGGAGCTAACTTTTAGTGTTCTTTATCTTATTTTGTTGAACAGGCAAGAGATTTTTTTTTTTTTTTTTAATTTTAATGTAATTAGCTAATTATGCCACCAACTTGTTGGCAGTAATATCCTTTTCTTGTCTTCTCTATTATTCTCCTTTACTTTTATGTCTTTTTTTTTTTAATAATTTTGGTGTCTTAAGATCCCAATTTTTTTATGATTTAATTATTCACATAATACTCTAAATTTATTTTTAAAAATAATTTTGACTTTAAGAGCCCGCTCCAAATGAATTCCACAAAAATCCAAAATGTTGGGAACTAAAAAAAAAATATAGATTTGAATTTTACGAATTGAATTTTATGGAATTGAGTATGTCTAATTCAAATTTTATTAAAATTGATCGAATTTGTAAAAGAATTTCACAAAATTGACTATTGAAATGTTTATTGACAAAATTACCTTTCCACTATATTCAACTATTTTTTACCTATAAATTCAACCATTTTTTACCTTTTTTTTTTCTTTTATTTATTTTCTTTGGAAAATTTCAAATTATAACAACTTTTTTTTTTTAATCCAATAATGACATTAGTTTATGTACAATATAATAACTTGTCATTTTTTTTTTCTTTTTGAAGTCTAGTAACAACGTTAGTTATTATTACTGTAAAACTATAAAAATTGAGTATCAACAATTATTTTCAAATACAATTAAAAATAATAATAACATTCTTAATATTTTTTTTTTAGTTTCCAAATTAATTACTTAAATCAATAAAATCTTTTATATCAATTAAAAATTTATTATGATGAATGTTACTGATTATATAATTAATTAATTAGCGTGTAATATTAATGTACTTATTTATATAAAATTTATTATTTTTTTCTTTTTATATCAATTAAAAATTTATTCATGATGAATGTTACTTAGATTATATAATTAATATTAGCGTTGTAATATTAATGTACTTATTTATATAAAATTTATGATTTATATTTTATAAAAAAAATGACAAGTATTTATATTGTACATAATAAATATAATTTGTTTTGTTATGATATTGTTTGTTAAAATAAATTATTATGTCAAGGGTGTTATAAGAAATAAAGACAAATAAATTTTCATTTAAGAATTTATTCCAAACATAATTTTGTGGAATTCAATTAAATTCCTTATTTTAAATTGTAGCATACCAAACATAACAAATTCATTCATTTACAAATAAATTCTACAACAATAATTTATGTAAATTGTGTAATTCTATAAAGTTATGTTCCATACATTTAGAAAATTTAGATGTTGAGGAGTTGTATCTCCCTGAAAAAGTAAAATTATTATAATCAAATATTATTATGAAATGTAAGAAATGGAGAGTATATATAGAAATGGAATAGATAGAATAAGAGAGAGTAGAGTGAAATTGATTTCTTATATTAGGATCTTAGTTATCTAATCCAAAGGATTAAGAAACTATTTATAGGATACAAATGATCCAAAAGACATATTCTTACATATTAAAATATAACCCTTCATTCTAAAGGACATAACCTTACAAACTAAAGGATATAATCATTCATCTTAAAGGACATGACCATTTATTCCAAAGGATATAACTTTTGGAGAAATGAATAATTTCTTTAATAAACTTAATGGACATCCATTATATTATGTAGTTTTATAATCCATTATATTATGTAGTTTTATAACACTTCTTCTTGGATGTCCATTACATAGAAAATATGTCTCGTTAAAACCTTACTAGGAAAAAACCCAATGGAAAAAAAAAATCCTAGTGAAGGAAAAAGAATAAAATATTCTTTGTGTTTTAAAAATTTATTTCTCCCCCTAATGAAGACATCACTACTTGTCTTTTTTTAGTGTATCATTCCTTCAGAGAATATAATATATTTTAATATTATCTCCTACAATATTATGGAGCTTGTTTTCTATGCAAGCAGAATGTATGTACTTTGTACATATCAAAATATCAATTTCAATAAGATACATTACTTGTTTACTTCATAAATTGTGATGTCTTTCATAAATAAAGAAATATCAATCATATATCAAACATTATGAGTATAATGATCCTTAAAATATATACTCAGTATGGTATTATGGTACTTAAGGACATAGTATTTTCATTATTGCAAAAAGATATAGTACTTCAGGACTAAAGAGTTCTTTAATATTTTTGGAGCTCGAAATTAGTTCTTTATCTCATTAAATGACCTCACAATTATCGGTTTCATTAATGGATGAGTTTTATCCATATACAATCATTTCAATCCTTTGGATTATATGTATTTCTTTGGATTATATGTATTGATTAATGGACCATAAATTCCATTTATAAAATGTTTGCTTCTTCAGGGCGAGACAAACTTTTTATCTCATTAAATGACCTCACAATTATCGGTTTCATTAATGGATGAGTTTTATCCATATACAATCATTTCAATCCTTTGGATTATATGTATTGATTAATGGACATAAATTCCATTTATAAAATGTTTGCTCTTCAGGGCGAGACAAACTTTTGTATATTCAAATTCTTTCATTTCAAATTCCTTTGAATACTTCACTGCATTTTTGGTGCTCTACTGGAGTCCAATGAGATTTATATTATTAACATACACAGCAATAATAATAAATTTAGATTTGACCTTTTTATAAAAATACGGACAAATTAGATCATTTATGTAATCTTCTTGTATTATATATATACTGAGGTGACTGTACTACATGCGCCTAGATTGATTTAATCCATACAAAGATCTTTTATATGCTTCAGACATTTTAAATCCTTTAGGGACTTACATATATTTCATCAAAGAAGAATAGAAACACAATGAATCATGTCATATATTCGTTTTTCACCATAGATGACATGATATTTGCTCAGCTATATCTTTAAGGCGATTATACCACCTGATTTCCTTAATATGTATAGAAATCCTTATAATTCACTTGAATACATTTTCAAGGTTTTCACGTTGCATGCTTCATGCATGTTTTAATCCTTCAAGGACTATCATTATCAAGTAATCCATACAGAGCTCCATATAATTTCTCGAGAATTTGAATTTTATACTTAAGTAACTTTCACAATATTAAGTGTTATAACATAAATGAAAATACAGTCGATATTTATCTTATATTGATTCCATCTTTTCTTTGATATGACATAACTTATCGAGATCTTATTATTTTCATTGAAATCATTGGTTTCAGGTATTTGAGTTTCTTCTGAAAATTCTTTATCAGTCATGTCTAAGATCTTTTCTAGAAAATATAACACATTTACTCCTTTTCATTTTCAGTGATTTTTGTTCTTGAAACTGATCCATCTACCATGCTTCATGCATGCAATAGGTTTATTAACATATGTAGTTTTATCCTTCAAGGACTTTCATTCTAGTAGGAGTTTAGCCACTGATTTACAATATTTACAATTGTTTGCAAAATAACTATTTTTTAAACTTCTAGTTCATACAACCTTGTGAGAGGATCAAAATTTGATAGTAATAATGTTTTTTAAAGTAATTATCATTTTCAGCTACTTATTCTTCCCTCTTAATGTCGGGATTCATAACAATTAAGAACTCAGCATTTTTGAAATCCATAACAATCAACAATTTGGCGATAGACAATTGTCTTTATTTAAAAATCTAGATATGGAAATGAATTTCATGCCTGACACATCTGTAACTTCCTTTGAAGATCTATATAATAAAAAAGAGGAAGAATTAATAATAACTTGTTGACTTAATGCTAATAATTACCACTATATATAATAATAATGTTACTATATATAAATAGGGAACTTTGTTTTCATAAAAATTGCTTTGAAAATACAACCATTAAATTTATTAGATTTGAAAAACTTTTGGTTCTTTAATAAATATTTATTTTATTTCTTTTTTGCATCAATATTTAACCAAGATAATTTAAATGATCATTATCAAACAATAAAAATATTTGAATTTATAAACTTTTAGTTTACTATATAATTATTATCTCTATATAATTACTATCTCTAAATAATAATATTTGCTCTTCAAGAATTTTTAATATTAAGGCCACAATGTGTTTTCATATATTTTGGTATACAATAAGTACGTAATGAATATGCCTTTTTATCTTTTGCCACTTCCAGTGGTAAGATTTATTTTGATTACTTATGATTCCCATAATTACAAAGATTAGTAATTCAATAATGATCTTATTGAAGAAATTAAAGGAAAGAATATGTCGTATTTCTTTCTATTGTGTTATATTTTTCAATCTCTACTCCACTATATATATACAAAAAATTGTTTCAATATAGGAAGTAATCTAAATAGGAATAAACCTAAATTAGGATGTATTTCTTTCTAATTCGGTGTTATATTTTTCAATTCTCTACTCACTATTATATATACAAAAATTGTTTCAATATAGGAAGTAATCTAAATAGGCAATAAACCTAAATTAGGAACACAATAGTTTACTTTTAATCAGAAAAATTTTCAACACTCCCCCTCAGTTGGGTGCATGATTATTACTCATGCCAACTTACAAAACTAAAGGATGAAACAACTTTGCTATGCAACCGCTTTGTTAATTAAATAATCAGCTTAGTTGGCTCTTTTGAGATTATTAAACCTTCAACTATCTTCTCTATTTAATAAAGTGAACGATCAATCTCTATGTGCTTTAGTTTCGATCATGCTGGACTGGATTGTTTTGATCATGATTGAATGGCTGCTTTTAACTATCACAAAAACAAGGATATATTTGTTGTTTCAACCAACTTTAACTCTTCCATTAATTTGCATAACCATAGAAGTTCATAGATTCCTTGTGCCATAGCTTTATATTCAGCTTTTGCACTAGACCTTGCAACAACAGCCTGCTTCTTGCTTCTCCATGTGACTAGGTTTCCTCCAATAAAAACACAATAACCCGAGGTTGATCTCCTGTCATCAAGGGAACGAGCCCAATCTGCATCTGTACAGCCTGTTATTGTTAAATGGCCATGTTTAGAAAATAAAAGTCCTCTACCTGGAGCTGATTTTAAATATCTTAGAATCTGATGCACTGCTTCCAAGTGAGACTCCCGAGGGTCATGCATGTACTGACTCACTAAACATGCAGCA